GCGGTGAGGCAATTTTAACCAAGCATGTCAAGTTGCAGGCGGGCGGTAACGATCCATTAAGGTCAGTGGGACCATGCTGCACCCCTTTGCCAAATGCCTGGAGTTCGGTTGCAATGCAGCATTTCAGTATAAAACCCCCCTTGGGATAGCCCAAAAAACAAATCAGGCCTATAAGAGATGGCAGTTTCGCCTCCTGAACGCCTGCAAAGTGCCACTCAACCACCTCTGAAAAGCCATCCACAGTACATGGGTAAAGAAAAGTGGTAAAGTCCTCTGCCCATATCAGCGGGCACAGAAACACTGGTTCACACCTAGGCGATTCAGATGCCGAGCTGTTTTTGCGCGTTTTTGATTGCAATGCATTTCAATGCATAGAGATGTCTATGGGACCCAAACCGCGCAACAACCGCCTGAAAATGAAAATAGCTCCTGCTCACACTTTGCGGTTTGTCGCGCGACCAACCGCAAAGGTGTGAGCAGCCTCCATTGACTTCAATGTGAATCTGTGTGATATCGCGCGACTCAAACCGCCTGATAAATTGCCTAGGTGTGCGTTACAGCATCTTATGAGGCACACAGATATATCAGTTTTAAGTGAACTAGCCCTTTAAATGCAGCTCGTTCAGTTTGTCCTTACACTAGTTGGAGAACCTCTGTCCTTTGACATGGTATCCAGCAGGCTGTGATTGTATCATATCATGCACCTTGCTCTCTGACTGCATAGAAGACATATTAGCAGCTTCTTGTGAAACAAGTTACCGGACACATTCCATTGCTCATTCTTGTTTCCTCGCCTTATTTACAGCAGCCCTTTTCCTGTCTCCATGTAAATGACAAGATATGGTGGCACTTCATTGTCACACACACACACACACAGGCAGGTGACAACAGGCTAGCCCTGCAGAGGAGGGAGGCTCAGCACTATCAAAGCTTGCTCTCAGTCTGGGACAGTACATAGTCAAGTTTTTTGTCTCTTTTCCCCCTTATTTTGTCATCTCCATTAACCCTTTCAGCCCCCTAGAAAGTTGTCCCAGGGTCTGCACCCCCCTCCTCTCCCTTTGATGGTTGCAGACAGCTCCCTAGCAGTGAATTAGCATATCAGCAGAGAGATCACACTGGCTCTGATATTGATCAGGCTGCGCTGTGTGTTTGCCGGCTATTGTTGGGGGATAATTGAGTGTCAGTCTCTGTCTGTGTCGCCTCGGTGGCGCCATGGAGTTTTTGGTTTGCTAATTTTACTAACTGCCTGCCTAGTCCTGCCCCATCCAGTCCGACTACATGATCATCAGCCTGAGCTGTCACAGCCTGCGCTACTGCTACTGACACCGCTACTGCCGCAACTAACCGGCGCTCTCCGCAGCTGCTGCTTTACCTCTTTATCTTCGGTGGGCAGCTGCTAACCCCTTGTGTGCCACTGAAGCAGTTTACAGAGCTTTGTATGAAACGTTTAACCTTGTAACTGTGAAATAAGAATAAAATACAGTTCTGTTGTTACAATAGATACTTTTATGCCAATAGCAACTGCTAGAAACACAACACAA